GCTGTGAGCTGTTGTCCTGTTTGGTCTGGTTCTGCTCCTCCATGATGTCACAGACACTACCAGTGGACGGGGTGGACGGGGCTCAGTCTGGTGATCTTTATATTTATGTCTATGGAACACCCTCTGCACAGCGCCATCATCAGGCAGAGGAGCTCTTTCAATGGCAGACTGCTGTCCCAGACCTGCTCTACGGACAGATTCAGGAAGTCTTTTGTCCCTCAGGCAATTAGGCTGTTCAACTTATCTCAGTTCAGTAAAAAAATAATAATCATGTTTCTGGACAATGTATATCATTTATTTTTTTCTCTGCATGAATACATGTGTATGTTTTAGGGATGCAAACAATTAATCGACTTATGATTAACTGTCGAATAATGCTTTATTAGATTAAAATTTCAGTGTAGGTTTGATTTCATCCAGAAGAGGGCACAACTGCTCTCAGCTTGGCCTTACACTACCTCAGCGGCCCTGTTGAGCTAAGCAGAGCGAATCTTTAGTTTTAGTTGCGACAATGATAATGGAATACACCAAATTTGAACATACCATCCAGCAGTTTGAGACTAAAGACAAGAGAGCAGGACGACAGAGAACGGTAAGCTAACTGTAGCTAACGTTAGCTTCTTCTTGCTGAGTTTAACTTTTGTGAAAGAACAAAAACAAATAAAGTTACAGTCACTACAAATAATTAATGTGAAGTTAATCAATGTGACGTAACCTGGCCAGTGAACCAAACAAATGGACAGTAACTGATGTCAAGTCACAGTGAGCAGCCCAGACTGAACCAGTGGGAATGTAAACAAACACACAGTTGCCAATACTCATTTATATCCCACTCCTCTTAGGTATATTTTATTATGTTTATAGTTTGTTTTTGAGTAAATCTTTAGGTTAAAATGTTACCCTGTGTTTAAATGTTAGTTTTACAACTCTCTGTTCAGAGTAGTGTTTTATATGGCTACCCCACCCAACTAGCAACCTAGTAGATTCCAGTTGTTATATTTTATAAATATGTCCAARTTTAATAATGTGAGAAATCCACAATTTTCTGTTTATTCAGTCAGTGTTTAATACAGCTGGCACAATAAACTTCATAAAATACTGTACTATTTTTTTTAATTTAGTGTGTAAAAACTAAGCCCTTAATGTCATAGAAAGACACTTGATTCAAGAGAAATGTCGGTTTTTTAGGAAAATGGCCACTTATCAGTTAATATTAGTCAATCGATAAGATCAATCAACTTCAGATTAATTCATTAATTGATAACTTGCATCTCTGGTGTGTTTATATTTGTTTTTAATGCATATTTTACTTTTTTATTTTCATTGTCTGTAAATGTACAGTAGCTGGAAGCCTTGAATTTCCCCTAGGGATTTATAAAAAAAACATCCATCCATCCATCCATCCATCCATCCATCCATCCATCCATCCATCCATCCATC